GTAAGAGACGGGGCCCAGAGATGGGGGCCCCCATGAAGGGGGTCACCTGTGTCCGGGGATGCCGGGATATGGCCGGAGTCCGTGTGAGGTCAGTGGTCAGAGGGGGCAGGCGGGGGACCAGGGAGTGATCAGATGTGGTTGGGGGGAAAGGCTCCTGCAAGAACGCAATGGAGTCCCCAGAGCCACTGTCATAGAGGATCCCTGGTGTCCCCAAAGGCAGGGGAAGACAGGCCAGGCTCCCCGACTTGGCCAAGCCAGTGGTGTGGAGGGGGGTGTGGAACAGGGGTGCTGATGGGGCCTCTGATGGGGGTCAGGATCCCAAGGGAGACAGGGATCTGGGGCCCTGGGGGGGGGGGGTTGGGGGGTGGCTGGGACCTTGCAACAGTGCCCTGCCCGCAACTTGTCACCCCAGGCCCGGGAGCCTCACCACAGCTGACCCCATGGTGCACAACCCCATCAGTGGACCGGTGTCCTGGGCGCACTGCCGAGGTGGAAATGTTGGAGCTGCTGTTTGGGACGAGATCCCAGCCTGCAGTTTCCCCCGACGCTCCTTACCCGCAAGCTGGGCTCTAGGTCACAAAGACCCGAGGCTCACTCGGAGTCTCGACAGACAGGCCACAGAAGACCGGTTCCTCCCAATCTGTGAGAAACACAATTTCAATGCAGCAATCACACAAGAAACGATGAATATGCCGTTGTGACGGTTTGGGCCGGCTCCATCTAGACGGGCCCTGGCACACAGTAGGTCCTCAGCAAACAGATGAAGAGCAGTCCCCGCAGAATTACCGGCTTGGAAGGCGGTTACACGGTGTTCCTGACCCTCTTTGGGAAGAGCTGCCGTGTGACCACTTGGGGCTGGAAAATAAGCTTTGGGGGATGAGGAGTGTGTGCGAAGCTTTACAGTGCTTCGCCTCGTGTGTGTCGTCGGCAAAAGCATAAGCAGATCCTAAACCTTGGTTTCTTTGTGCACAAGATGTTTTCAGAAACCACACGAACGAAAAGCATAACCTGAAATTACTGTGATGGACTAGATGGGACGTTTCTCACTTCTAATTTCTTAATTTCGAAGCTCATTTGCTCCAGAAGCTTAGGTAGAATGCAGGTGGTTTGGGGCTGGCTACTTGCATTATTTTAATTGTTTCGAGCATGTTGTGTGGCCATGGCCCTTCCGTGGGTGCCATGGACTGAACTGTGTCCCCCC